TCAGGTCCAGTGAGTAACAGGTATAGTAAGTACGGTAATTGGTTTAGTAAGTGAAACAGATGCATTGACAAGTGGAGATAGATAAATAGATAGATAGATATAGACATTGGTAGATAGACTTAACAAGACGACAAACATTACCTTATTAGTTTACAAATTACTTAATACAGTAATTAATTTGGGGATTATATTAATTTGCTTAAGGTAATATATTAATTTTGGGTAAACTAACAAAGTATAATTAATTGGTTTTAAAGAAAAGGTAACAATTAATTAAGGTAAATTACGGTAGAGTGGAAGTAATTATTATAGTATGCTAAGGTAACGTAGTGATAGTGTGGCAGGAAATTATTATAGAGATGTACTGTCGCTATAAATTTTAAATAGAAAGATATACAGACAGACATATATTCAGTATAATTTATGAAGTCACGTAAGCAATGATAGATATATTAAAAATAAATAAAAATTCAGTAAATTTTAAAGCCACGTAAGCCCATAGGTAAATAGATACGGTAAAAGTTCAAGTTAAAATCGTCGTATGTTTCCAATTAGTTTATTAAGTCACTGTTTAATTGCTTAGGATTTTATTGTTTTCTTTAGGTATCGTTCACTATGTCTTAATATGAACATTGAGACAATAACTGAAATAATAAGAAAGTTATATTTTTTATCCAACAATAATTAAAAGTTTACATGGCATTTCCCGAATTCCAGACCTAAAAAAAATCCGTCTTCAATTTTCCTCTAACATCGGTCTATTTATGAACTTAACCAGTACTATTTTACACATAGGGATACACATATGATATAATAAAGTAATATAATACTACATATCTACATGACATTGCTTATAAAAGGCATAAAGTGAGGAAATATAAGACAGGATATATTTTAGTGAAGGTACCCATTGAATAGGCGACTGTTTTCTTTGGTTCAGTCCTTTGTTTTCCTGTGGTCTTGGAACTCGTCACGAAATCTCTATATAAACCAATAAACGAATCTTCTATCTTATATAATTTAACATGAGGATTAGTTTCTTATTGATTATGATGTTAATTAGTGGTTATATTACCTTAATTGAGTGGAATAAGGTAGGTAAAGTTAACCTAGTAAGTCCCTCGCTCCCCACGTGCATATATGAAGGTCTGAACAAAGAAAATTTTGCATATTTTTTTACTATTAAATTTTGTGCTTGTTAATGGTCCCGAAATCATTTTCGTCATTTTTCGCGGCACCGACTCCAGTGAATTGATATCCATTCTATAATAAGGGCACCAGAACTGAACCGCATAATCGAGGTGCGGCCTAACTAGCGCAAGGTATAGTTGCAATAAGACCTCTGCACTCTTATTACTTACACTTCTAGATATAAAACCCAATACTCTGTTTGCCTTATTTCGAACAATAACGCACTGTTTTCTAGGCCGTAGGTCCGGGCTTACAAGTACCCCTAAGTCTCTTTCACAAGTCTACTTCTCTAGGTTGATGTTAAGGCTGTATACATTGTCAGTATTTGTTCTTCTAATATTCAGTACGCTGCACTTGCTGGTGATTACAAAGTTCATGGTACAATAAGCCAGGTGGTCTAAAGTCTTTGACAGTGTCACATTCAATAATATAGTGTTCAAGTGTATGCTTTAAAGGTTTATCACAAAGTTTACATGCCGAGTGTTCCGGTATGGGTACAGCGTTACTAACTTGCCAGATGTGTCTGTATCCTAGCCTAATTCTGGCCACGACTACATCACATTGTCTGGTTCTGTCCTTATGCTGGCCATACCGGTACCTCTCGTCACAAAATTTGTCAAATTTACTAATGCTACAACCGCCAGGTCTCTCTGCCTTTCTCAGTTCTTCTAGATCAGAGTTCATGAATCTGACTTGAATGTTTTTAAGTACAGCATTGGTAATATAGTTATATAGACCTTGTATAATATGTATTTTATGTATTATGTGTTATTTTACTAATATATTTCATCCTTATAACATATAATGGTGGATTTGTAATATATTTCATTTATAAGGAAAATATATCGGGAGATTTTTAAAGCCAATTTTCATAGATCGTTTGTTTTTATAATAATTGAAATATATTGACTTTATATATGAATCGACCTATTTCATTCGATAAGCAAAATTTTATAATTAATTTGAGGGTTACTTAATATTATGAAATTATATAGAGAAATTATGATAAATATTAGATTATTAAAAAAAATAAAAATTGGATTATAACATTATACCGATTTATACGCAACGATATATTGAAATATAAGCATATGACTAACTGATGTACTGTATCGTGTTCATAATATAATAGTCTAATTGAGTTTTTATATTACAAGGTTTAATTGAAAGTATTGGAAATTATTGTAAGCGCTTGGTGGTGGTGAGAAGCGTCAAGTCTCAACCCACGCTGCTTCTACCGCACCCGCCACCTCCCTCTCCCTCCCTTACCTCCTCTTCTTCTCTTTGATTTATTCTCGTATTACTACACTACCGTAGACTCTACCCTCTATGGATCATATCATGAATATATATCTGATAGAAATTAGATATCAGGAGGTGGGGAGTAGATGTGGTTGTTGTTTTATTAGCCTTGTCTTATGGTGTGGTTCTGTAAAATTAGAACATCTGCTTGGCGTTTTGTGTTGTTCCCGCGCATTACTGCTCACCCAGGCCAGGACCGCATTCCACGCGTCAAGAAGTAGTACCCCATGTTTTTTACCATTTCTATAAAATCCCAGTTAAGTATCTATAGAATAATATCTAAGGTATTTATAATAGTTTATTTCTGATATAAATATTGGATTAAATGAATTTGAAATATCTGGAAAATATAATAGTTTAAATTATCCCGCGCGGCCCAGCCTTGGCGGATGAATACAAGTACTCATCAGTTTCCCGCCAAACAAGAGTCCTAAGCGCTCGAACACGGACCAGTGTTGCCTTTACTCGTGCTTATTTGGGTGTTTTTGTGAGTGATTTGAAGTGTACAAGTGACTGATAGGTTTAAAGTGTTTATAGAAGTGTTGCTCGAGGATGACAATGTTTCCTAGAGTAGGTGAGAAGCGTCGGATTGATGATATTGGGATTGAAGACGAAGAAGCCATCGGTACACTCTGCAGGTATGGCCGCCCAAGTGTCACGTTTGAATCCTAGCCCTGTATTCTCCAGCTCTGTGCGTGAATTTGGTGAATTATGCTTTATTTAAACTCCTTGGGTGGTTGTCACGATCACCAAGGGTGTTTTAGCTTCATAGTTTACGTGTTTCTTCCATGTATTTCATCAGCTGATTGTGACGCCATGCCGGGCCGCCGATCAGCTGACAGGACGGCCATATGGCTGCCGCTACATTTCGCTCATTTATCCGCCTTACAACCCTTCCGCCACCAATATCTAATAATATACATTGTCGTGTAAGATTGTTGTATGTTTTTATAAGGTAATTTTACCTTGAAACTAAAGTTGAGTCCTTAAATAAGGTTTGTTTTCTTGTAACAGCTGATATTGACGTGATCAGCTGATGTTCTTCACATGGCGGCGCGCACAAGCAGGGCGGGGCCGCGCGTTAACTTACCATGCTAAGAATATCTCCTAAATGGACGAAGATATATTTAATTGCACATTTTCTCGTATAGTTACGTAGATTTATATCTGTATTAGGTATCTTTTTTATAAATTATGGCGAGTTTTCTGTTGTATAACCGAATTTGGGAAGTATTAGTGCGTATGGTGAGCGGAAGTGGAAAAGCGTGGGCGGTGATCCAGGGACCACGTCAACCCATGGGTTATGTGGGTGGAATGCTTGTTAGCCGGGCGGAAATAGCCATTAGGGGGAAGTTAAAGGCATGCCTCTGATGTAGGAGTCTGGATACATAAGTGGACGCCAGGACGCTAGATATTATGGTCAGGGTATATCTATCACTCACGAGATCGCTCGGAAATCTGTAGGAACACACACCCTCAACTTATATTTCTCACAGTAATGCGGATGCTGTACGAGTTTTCCTTGGCAGCTTCAATTGAAAAAGAAATGATTGAATATGGTTATATGAGAGGACTTGCACAAATCACATAGTTTCTATTTAGTGTTATTTTGTATTTAGTAAAACGTTAAACTTGATTCCAGACTTATTTTGGAATACATTGACTTAATTTACAAGGCAATTTTTACTTTAATTAACTTACGATACTTAAAGGTTTAAAATAAAAGTCTTGGGCAAGGTGTGTTGTAACGTCTCACTGTTAATTATAGGTTCTCACAAGGTAACATTGTTCTTGTTGGAAAGGTTCATCACAAACCCTATAAACTGCGTAGGAAAATGTTTTTGCTGCAAAGTTTATTTCTTTCATAACTATATTGGATTTTCATGAAGTACTCGAAGAAAAATATACTTGGGATCTAACACAAGGAATGTTGACCAATGGATGTGTGATATTTCTATGGCATTTCCTTTCTTACATTCAACCTCGGATCATCGACTTACGTGTAAGGTTGGATGCTGAGGTTCGCGGAAGTTATGAAAGGTTGGCTTGAATCCAGAGTAACCAAACCAGATTATTTGGATATTCGTTTGTTTTAATTCCGTCTCAGAAATTAGCCTAACTGTTTACTCGAAAAAAATATTGATCTTGGAGTTTCATTTTTTGTCGTGTAAATAATAAGTACTGATGTGATATATTACCTTAGTTATTTTAAAGGTAACCAAATACTATTCTGTTAGAAGTCATGGTCGTTACATTACAGACAAGTCCATCATGAAACAAATCAATGTCAATAATGTACATATTTTAACCTTGGTGAGTGGTAGTGTCAACAAACACGGCCATGCTATCATGATTCTACTAACGGGTGGTGAGATGTGTTGGGCGTCGTGTGTAGGAACCAGCTGATTGTGCATGTAAACATCGTGACGGCGGTGCTGTGCCTGGCTCAACAGCGTTCTTTCATCAGCTGATTGATTGTTATCCGCCCTGCGTAATTCACAGCCGAGGTTAGTGTACGTTTGTATATTTAGGATTGTTATTCATTCATGATTTGATTTTGTTGATTTTTTTTTTTTGTAATTTTGGGGCTCATAGTTACGACAAACGAACCGGTCAGACTTACCCAAACACAGATTCTTTTTAGGTTAGATTCCGCTGGTTCGTTGTAATGTGTACAGTGTGATTATTGCACGCGATCTTGTAATCCTGGGCTAAGTCATTTATATATAACTGCATACGACACGAACCAGCCAACCTTGACCCAATGATCTCATTTTCTGGTATATGTTAATTTGAGTGTTTTAAATTTTTTCCAAGATCGCGCGAAACATTATTTGGGAAAGTCGTCAGCTGTTATCAGTCGCATCTCTTAAGGTACACAATTTTTCTCACGGGAGATAATCACAAACAGCTTTGATATTACCCTTGATAAGACAATTCGGTGATACGTGCCATCGTGAATATCAGATGGCGTCTCCAATGAACCTGCTGGTGGTGACTGTGATTCGGAAACCTTATCTTAACAGTTGGCTGATTAAGCATATTTCACATTGGTCATTGACATCTTGTATCCATCTTAAAATTGATTAGATTAGGTGGGACCGTTTTATATTAATAGAGAAAGGTTTGAGTAGGCTGTAAAAGTCTTCAGGGGTGAGGCAAGTGAGTTTTTAGGCCTAGGGAATCTTGATTCTGATTGGTCGTGGAGAGAGTGGGATACCGTAGTTGTAAATGGTCAAGCCTGGCGCCCTGTCACTAGAGGTTGTGGTGTGTTAGGGACGAAGGAAGGAGGGACTAAGAGATGGGGGGGGAGGGGGGTGACCAATGCTCGTCCTTGTGTGGGATACGTCTTTGCCCCAGGCGTGGATTTTCCCCTGGCGGGCAAGCGAGCGTACTACCTGTAACGGTGGTGGGCAAGCGGGAGGAAGAGGAGGGCAGGCTTGTTACTGACCCACCCTCCCTCCCGCCCTCTCTCTCACACACACACACCCACGTGGTACTAGTGGTGCTCCCCTCCACACCACACCATAAACACGTGTGATGGCTGGGGGGTCGTATGCTGTGTTAATTTTTTTCATGCACCTTTGTCGTGTTAGTTTTACACAAGTAGTACACGTGTTATGCAATTGTACACGTGTTATTGTGCAGTTGTACATATATTTTGGGACTAGTTTTGTCATTTGATGAGTGTACCCATATTGTACACGTGTGCTGGTGTGGGTTATATTACACGTGTTAAAGTGCAGTTGGTGCACACTTGTGTTATGTCATTTTTTTCCTCGTATACGTGTTACTATGCAGCTGTTGAACATTTGTTGTGGACCGGTTTAGTCTGTACACGTTTATTTTCCCCCTGTACTTCAGTTCAACACGTTATCATGCATTTACAAAACTCATGTCGGCTAGAGTTCAGTGTTCATGTTTATTGTACATAACTGTGGTGCATATGTGTGTTTTACAGTGTAGGCTATGGGTGTTTTATTATTGTGCACGTTATTTTACTATTGTACATCTCACTTGTCCTTCTGTTGTACATTTCTGAAAGTGCTCACCTGGGACCGTGGGAAGATTAGGAACCCTAGTTTATTTCACCTCGCTATCAAGCATCCTAACTCATCTTAATTTGCACTCCCTCGAGATACGTAGAGTGGGGGGCGATATGATAGAGGTGTATAAATGGAAGTCAGGGCTATACAAGGGTGATATAACAAAGGTACTCAAACTATCCAACTAGGAGCGAACTCGTAATGGTTTTAAATTAGAAAAATTTAGATTTAGGCGCGAAATAGGTAAACATTGGTTTGGAAATTGAGTAGTGGAACAAGTTATCAAATATCATCATTAACTCGAATACGCTGGATAGCTTCAAACATACTGTAGGGTGGATGGAGAAATGAGCAGTTTCCTCCATTCTTATGTTGTTACCTTGGGGGGATAAGTAAGCGTTAAGGAATCAGTTAAATGATCAGGTGTAATAAAGCTGGGGTGCCTAATCTTCACGTGAGCCGTTCACTTGTGCTATTAATACATGTGCTGACGTAGAGCTGGTGAGTGTATGGTGAGGTCAAGGGCACAGACAAGGTCATTCCAGGAGGGATTTAACACCACGTTCAAGTGCAGTGTGGTTACTTATTGGGAAGTTCGTATTTAGTGTGTGTGTTACGTAGGCTATTGAAAGTCATTGGGAGTACCGTGATTAGCGGTTCAAGTTGGCGGGAGGGAAGTAGTCTTGGTTAGGAAGGGGAGTAATATAAGGAGGGTAGACAAGGAAGGGGAGGAAGAGAATTGACGTTAGACAAGTGTGAGTCGAAGGGAGGGAAAAAGGTATTGGGTAAGAGCGAGGGAAGCGTTAGGTAAGAGTGAGAGGTGGAGGGAGGGAGGGAGAGGTAGAGAGTCCCACCACACACACACACGGGTAGCTGACTCACTTCCACCCACGACCAGAAAGATGCAACAAGTCGCCAGCCAATTGGATCCACACACCCCGTCTCTCAGCTGTTCGCAGTGTAATCTCTCAGCTCCACAACCATGATCTAAGACCCCTCATGCGTGTCCTAGATGGAAATGTGTCGTGTCAGGGGCAACGTTTAGTATTGTCAGAGATGAAATGGTATTGGCGTCTTGGTTTGGAAACGGGTGAAATATTATGAGGTAAACAAGCAGGCAGAATACGACCCTAGCCTAGCGGAAGGTATGCCCGGGGCCAGCTGAGGTGAGGGGGGGGGGAGCCTTCCTCTTGTGGGGGGCGGGAGAGGTTGGGTTAGGTTAGGCCTTTGAATGTTTTCTAACTAGACCAGATCTAATCTAACCCTCATCTGTGACTTTTTCCAACACTTAAGGTTGTCTCTAATCTTGTGAGAGGGAGGTTAAGAGTTTAAGGAAGAATATTTTGTGTTATGGGAGGGATGTACGGGAGAGTTGGGTATAGTGGAGCCGTCAACCTTATGGGAGGAGAGATGCCCAAGACGGTCACGAGGAGGGGAACACAAGTGGGTGAAAGCAGCGCTGTGGGCTACCTCAAAATGTTCTTGCTTATTGACTGCTGTACGGTATCTATTTGTTGTTCTTTGCTGTAATTGTCACCTTTAACTTGAATTAGTGGAACAAGACATTGGTTAGCGAGGGAGTTAATACAGTATTTTATAAAGTAATTTAAGCAGTAGTTGTTGCCTTCTTAAGTATGGTATTGTAATAATCCATAGCGTAAAGAAATAGACTAAACCACTTGTGGAACTGTGTGATTGTTTGGGTGAGGGAGGGAGCGTGGGAACAGTGGTGGTGTAGAGGGAATAGAAGGTCGGTCTTGTTGGTGAGACGTGGGATTTGACACGAAGCCCCGAACGTGCTATTTGAAACGAATTCTGGACGTGGGCTGTGACACGAGGCCAGCTTCTTGAAGGTGCACACGATGATTAGAAGCTGCAGGTGTAAGAACGTGTCTAACCGATTGACTGACTTAAATTAAATCACATACTGTATAACCTTGGTGTAAAAAAGACCTAACATAACTGCTCATCTTCCCAAATTCCGACATATATTAAAAAAATTACTGCACTTTAAAAATAATCAAAGTAATAAATTTCACGTTACCATAAATATTGAATTATAGTAGCGTATGTAAAGGTAGTAATTTACACGATTGTTTTAAGTTCCGTGTTATATTTTCAGGAAGTGGTTCTGGCGTTAGGCTATTGATCGACATTTTTTAATTGTTTTGCGCACAATACGGTCCACGAAGCTCTTGTAATGTGTACACAATGAACAGGTGTATAGCTTGGCACCAACGACTGTGTGAAGATGTGTATGACCGCTATCAAGGTGAACCATTGTAATGTGTGTGTGCGTTTGTGAGAGAGAGAGAGGGCGTGGGCGTGTGAGCATGTGTGTCTAAAGAATTAAGGTTCTTAGCCCACAGGTTTTTAAAGGGAACACTTTTATGGATTCCTGTACGGCGATACTCCACTCTACAGCATGTGTTCATTGGCCTGTTGAGCGACGCTTTACCTTGACATTTCACTTCCGACCTTCACCTCTCTGTAGCTAAAATATTCGTTTTTCGTCAACCAGCTGTTTATCATGGAGAAGTGGAAACGTTCGTAACAATTGCTGCTTTGATTTGGTATCCAATACATTCATACATACATACAGTACTCAATGTATACAGCCTTAACATCAACCTAGAGAAGTCGACTTGTGAAAGAGAACTAGGGGTACTTGTAAGTCCGGACCTACGGCCTAGAAAACAGTGCGTTATTGTTCGAAATAAGGCAAACAGAGTATTGGGTTTTATATCTAGAAGTGTAAGTAATAAGAGTGCAGAGGTCTTATTGCAACTGTATCTTGCGCTAGTCAGGCCGCACCTCGATAATGCGGTTCAGTTCTGGTGCCCTTATTATAGAATGGATATCAATTCACTAGAGTCGGTGCAGCAAAGAATGACGAAAATGATTCCGGGACTTAGAAACCTTCCATATCAAGATAGGTTAAAGAAACTAAACTTGCATTCCCTAGAAAGACGAAGAGTGCGGGGAGATATGATAGAAGTATTTAAGTGGGTGAAAGGAATCAATAAAGGGGTTATAGATAAAGTTCTTATAATATCCGAGCAGGATAGGACTCGGAGCAACGGATTTCAGTTGGATAAGTTTAGGTTTAGGTGGGAGATAGGAAGGAACTGGTTTACAAATAGGGTGGTGGACGAGTGGAACAAGCTTAGCAACTTTGTAGTAAGTGCTGGAACTCTGGAAAGTTAAAAAGAGGCTGGATAGATTCATGGATGATAGAGAGTGGTAGTAACTCTCGACAGGAGCTGCCATGCACAGGCCAACCGGCCTATTGCAGACTCCTTACTTTCTTATGTTCATACGTGAACGCATCGTGAAATTCCGCTTTTTTATTTCCTATCTTCGACGATCTTTTGTTTACTTGTTATTTGTTAAACTCTTTTATATACAGGATTACAGTCAGTGAATTAACGTGCAAATTAACACCTTATAATACCTGTAAA